AAGGTGTAATAGTGGGTGTTATACTTGAACTTGTATATTTTCAAAGACACCAATCTATCTATCTTTTCAAAGATTATTTTTCTTTATTGATTCAAAAATTTTTTTCCTAATAATAATACTAAGAAAAAAATGTAACAAAAAATTAATTTCGCGTAGTCATAATTTGGTAAACAAAATATTACTGATGATATTGAAGATCAAGAAAACTTGAAAAGTGATAAACATTGAATTAGTAAATCAATGATTCATTTATTTAATATATAATCTATAAATTTTTATGATTAATGTACAGTACAAACGATGATGATAATAATTCCATTATAGAATAATAGCTTATTAAGAAAATAAAAATTATTTTCCTATGAATACGGTTTCCGTTTTTTTTGGAGCAATATGATCTATTCCAGCTTTTTTCTCTTTTCCTTGTTTATCTTTAATAATAAATTCATCAATTGAATCAATTGTACTACCATTACCATCTGTATTCGTTGGATCACACTTTTCACATCTTGGAATATGTCCACTTTTAAGATTTGAAATTAAATGACAATTATCTGGAGGTCCAATATTATTACACTTGAAACATATATGTTGTGGATATATACTTGTTAACTCTATCAATGAATCATACTCATTATTGCTGTCATTAATATTGTTATTGTGATTATGATGATTGATTTCATTACTTGATTCATTGTTGTGACTAGTATTATTAACATTATCATCAGAACTATCCTTAATTAATTTTTTTGGTTTTTTGTTCCTATTAGAATTTTCATTATTTAGCCCTTCGTTTATTTTATCATCATCATCATCATCATCATCATTATCATCACCACCACGTTGTAGTAAAAAATCTGAAACACTTGCACTTTTTTTCCTTTTTTCTACTGATGGTTTCTTTGGAGGCATTTTCCCAAGAATTTCATTGGTGATATTAATGCTGGTGTGAAATGCATTAATAATACCGTCCGTTGAACCAAACATATCAATACCTATTAGGCTGTTATTAATCTTATTAGTGTTAGGAATTATTGTTTTTTTGCCTTTTTCAATTTGTTGTTCATGTTCGTTTTGTCTTTGAACAAGAATTTTTTGTGCATTATCTAATCTCAATGTTTCGATTTCTTTAAAATCTAACTCTTTAACATCAATATTCTTTGCTTCTTCCACACAATTGCTATTCCAACCTAATAACGAGTCTGGTAATTTAGCAAGCGATTGTTGAATCTCATTCATTGATTTTGTTAACAGACCATTTCTTATTTGAATTTCCGCTTCTTTGTAAGTTGAACACTCGGCGTATTGTTTTATTTCAACATCATTTCTCTCACTATCTTCATTATTGTTATTGGCATTGCTGTCAATATTTTGATTTTTATCATCGGCAACATCCTTTTCACTCATCCTTTCAACGAATTTTTCTACTCTAAATATCAACTTATTTAAATAATTTACTAATATCATTGTTTCTGATTTCATTATTATTTTCTTTTCTCTTAATGATTTGACTTGTTTTTTTCCTCCACTTATCTTGTCCTTATTTATTTTATATTCTGAATATAGCCGAGCTACATTTTCTTTAAGGTTAATTATTCGTTTCTCTCGATATTTCTGGTACTCAAAATATTTATCCTCAAAGATTTCTCTAAGTATCTTTTCTTGATCTGTTAACCCATTTCTGAGTTGATCATTTCTTTTCTGTAATACTTCAGATTTAGCGTT